CCCCCTGTAGTCATCTTCCAGTTTAAGAAAATCCTCTGAAATTTTGAACTTTAGAAGCTTCCCTTATGGAGAGTGTAAGGTTTGTTTAGCTAAGGGTGTAGATCAGAGGTATAGCATTTGCCCAGCATACATGAGTCCCTGGGTTTAATCCCCACAGCCACAAAGCAAAGAATCAAAACATACAAGCTAGAAGATCTTTACTTTTCTCGAGTAATAGGTCTGAGAATGTTAGTGAACAGGAACAGGATCAGTTTCGTTTGATTTTGTTTTGCACTATTTTGTTTTTCATTCTTCTAAAACTATATGACTCCTCTTTAAAAAAGAACTGTAGTCCCGTCTTAGACATTACATGCCATCTGATTACTATAAACTTCAGTCAGACATTCAAGTGAAAGAAGGTATAATTAAGTAAAGAAAGTGTACCTCAGGCGAGGTTCCTCCCGGAATCTCTAGGCATGACTCCCAAAATTGATGGACAGGGCGCTGTGTTATCTCAGGGCCTTGCAACATGCATGCTTATCCCAGAATTCACTCTGATCTTAACTGCATGCATGTAGTACATATTTATGAACCCTTTAATGAGGTTTAAGTAATAGTGACTAAAGGTCAGGCTAGAAGATCCAAATACACATGTGTGCTCACCTCGACTATCCTAGATCTCCTAAGTTATTGTTATCTGATTTTCTACCTCTCAGGACAATAGAAGGAGGAATGGATCTAGGATGCTATTTAAAATTAAATTAAATGATTTAAGTCCTGGTTGTCGAAGCTGCAAGGCCCTTGAGATACCAGTGTGGCTTCAACTAAAGTCCTTTCTGGAATTCTGGCCTCCCCACCAACCTGAAGGGTCACTGGTTAATTATGACCCAGTCTTGGTGTCCCTCTGTTACCTCTGCAGGAATGCCTTGCCCCCTTTTTACGAGCCTTGGCTGTGTTAACTATCACTAGATGCCTCACACACTATCACTAGATGTCTCACATGCACCCTGCCCTATTTCTTCCCCTGCTTGAGTAATCAATAAACACTGAAGGTCTTGAGTGCCTGCTGTCTTTTCTGCCTGCTTGGCTCAGACTGTCCCAGATCCCCACTTTTTGTTTAGTCTTGTCTCGGTATCTTTCTTTAGCCTTGTGTCCTATCACCTAAGCATGAAATTGGGGCTTAAGGCTTAGGGTACCCGATAAGCAAGTACTTTGTACAGAGACAGAAGAGAGATGCCTTGAGGGTATCTCAGGAATCAGTAAAACTTCACCTATTTCAGGCTTCTCTTTCATTTGAGAAGAGTCTTGGGGCTTTTTTCAAGATTCACCACCCAGGAAGTTGGCTACCTGAGATTCGTTTCACCATGTTCAGATATCCAGGTACTCAGAGGCTACTGCTGCCATGTTTCAAGAGGGCCTGGCTATCGCCTGTGCTGGTGACAGACTTTGGCATCTTCCACGTGACGCTTGTTTTACTGGCATATAAAATGCACAAGTTGTGGGGTCAGAGAAGCTTCCACCCAAATTTCAAACGAAGGCCTGGGAGGCCAGGCAAGGATTCCCTGAGAAGGAAATGTGTGAAGCTGTGGGAATGAAGCCAAAGTTGCACTGGAGACCTCAGGAAATTGGAGATGCCAAGAATGTACAATGTCTGCTGAGGACAACTACAGCATATGAACATGAGCAGAGCCAGCTGAGAGAGGCCATGTGGGTTGCAACAGTAACCCCTATAGTGGTAGGGCTTCCAAGCCCTCTGTAACATCTCACCACCATGTGCCCCAAAGCTGAGTATGGAACTACAGGACTTAATGTTTGCCTTGTTGGTTTTCAGTCTTCCCTTGATCCAGTTCTTTTCTATCCTCCCATCCCTCCCCTTTGGAATGAAATATTTACCCTGTGTCATTTTTCTTATCCTATAATTTGTTTTTGGTTTTCATAGAGGTTCACAGCTAGGAGACTTGGACTTGGACTTTGAAAAATGCTAGAAATGTTGGAACTTTGGAGAAGAGATTGTTTTCTTGATTGTATGCATGTTAGGCAGAACTATTAACTTATTACATTTGTTTAGAGATTATGTGCGGCCATAAGGAGATGTGTTTGGGTATGAAATTGACAGGGGATGGGATGTGGGTATTAAACTTGATTGTTTCAACTTAATGGGCTTGGCAACCTTTTCTAGCACTGTTCCTCTGCTCTGCTTCCCAGCATTGATGAACTAAACAGCTTTGTCCCACCTCCCCTTTCTGTCATGTTTATGGATTGGAGCCACATGACCATGAACTAAATCCCGTGAACAACATGTTAGTTACTTTTCTCTCACTGCTGAGACAAAATAACTGACACCCAGAGTTAAAGGAGGAAAGGTTTATTTGGCTCATGGTTTGTGGAAGTTTCAGTTCACAGCTGGCTGGCTCCAAGACAGATTGTTGGCATGACAGAGGGGCATCGCAGAGGAGAAACATTTCATGGCAGTGAGAAGACAGCAAGGCAGCAAGCAGCAAGCTACAAACAGCAAGCTACAAACAGCAACCCTCTTTCTGTCCCTCACATTTTATCCAGGCTACCCACCCTTAGCACTGGTAGCACTTACACCTAGGGTGGGGCAGCCTCAATCCTAGCATTGCACCCCAAGTCAATCCCAGTATCACACAACCTAGGTCCATCCACCTCTGAAAAGCCCCATCTATGACTGCATGTGGTTTTGGGAGGACATCTAGACACAAGACATAACAGTATGTGATTAAATCATAATAAATAGCTGAAGCTGATTCTGGAAGACCTCCTGGGGCTTGGGGGCCTCTGAAAGATGGCAAAAGTCCCATTTTAAGCTAGACCTATTGAGTTGCAACCTTGCTTCTATTTGCTAGCAGTAACTCCTTCTGTAAGAGCAACATGCAGCTGATAATATCTCCCTGGCAAGGTTGTTGTGATTTTTGTTTGAGACTTGGTAACCCAAGCTAGCTCCAAACTTGAAATCCTCTTGCCTCAGACTCTAGGGTGCTGAGCATACAGGTGTGCACCACCACACCCGGCTTACTGTTCCCATTTTTATTTTATTTTTCATATAGGGCCTCACAATCTAGTTCAGGCTGGCCTTGAATTTACTGCGTAGCCCTGTCTGGCCTCAAATGTGCAGCAACGCTCCTGCCTCTGTGTCCTAAGTGCTGGGATTATAGACATGCGCCACCACACCCAGCTTGTGATTTTTAAGAACCTGCATTAGGATTAATAATGAGCAGCGCATGATGCATAGTTGACACCCTTTAACATACTACCCGTGCGTGAGGACAGTAATGGAAATCCACCCAATCGAATAGGAGGCGGTTCACTGAAGTGGTTCTGGGAGACCCGAGCAGGAGATCCGATGGCGTCGGGTCCGTCGCAGTGGTCTCACCCTTCATCCCTCAGACTCTAAAACAGTGAGGCAGTGGCGAAGCCCGCGAACCCCGGAGTCCAGAAGCGCGGCGCTCCCGGAGCCTGGCCGGGGGAAACGAAGTGGGGGACCGCGGCGCTGGACAAGGCAGCCCCGCCCAACAGATCGGGCCGGCACTCGGTACCCGAAGATTTC